CCTCAGGTAAGAAGTTCCACAGGTTGACTGCGCTGCGTGAAGAACTTCCTTGTATTTGTTTTAAACCTGCTGCCTATTAATTTCATTTGCTGACCCCTAGTTCTTGTATTATGGGAATAAGTAAATAACTTTTCTTTATCCACTTTCTCCACATCACTCATGATTTTATATACCTCTATCATATCCCCCCTTTAGTCTCCTCTTTTCCAAGCTGAAGAGTCCTAGCCTCTTTAATCTCTCCTCATATGGGACCTGTTCCAAACCCCTAATCATTTTAGTTGCCCTTTTCTGAACCTTTTCTAGTGCCAGTATATCTTTTTTGAGATGAGGAGACTACATCTGTACGCAGTATTCGAGATGTGGGCGTACCATGGATTTATATAAGGGCAATAATATATTCTCGGTCTTATTCTCTATCCCCCTTTTAATGATTCCTAACATCATGTTTGCTTTTTTGACCACTTCTGCACGCTGCATGGACATCTTCAGAGAACTATCCACGATGACTCCAAGATCTTTTTCCTGACTTGTTGTAGCTAAATTAGCCCCCATCATATTGTATGTATAGTTGGGGTTATTTTTTCCAATGTGCATTACTTTACATTTATCCAAATTAAATTTCATTTGCCATTTTGTTGCCCAATCACTTAGTTTTGTGATGACACTGTAGAGGCCAGGGTTTCCATCTGAACCTTTGTTTTCTTCATCCACTTGTTGAGTCTTTTGAAGTCAAGAAATGCTCTGATTCCCTCTGAGCACTTCTGTGCAATGAAGATGGAGTAGAACCCAGAGAAGCTTTCTTCTGAGTGAACACACTCTTTCACTGCCCAATGCAGACAACAAGATATTTCTTTGTGGAACAGACTGTTTTACAGGGCTGTTGGAGCCAGGTGACTGGATGAGATGGGGTGGAGACTAAAGCTTAAGGAAGTATCTCCAGCTCACTATTTCCCAGACCCACTTATCTGTGGTTGATTTTAAAACCATTCCTCTAGTAAATGGGATATCCTACTTTGTAGCTTCAGCACTGGAAGGAGGTATATGCAATCTTTGTCAGAGTGGATTGTGTGGGTGGGAATGGTGAAGTCCCTCTGGAATTTCTCTCAGATGTGGATTCCTCTGTTTTCTAGTGGGCAATTATTGTCCTTACATTAGTACCTTTGAGGACAAGAAGTGAAATGTCTGAAGGCTGGTGTATATTCTTTCCAGAGAGCCCTTAGTGGGAAAGGGAGAGACTGTTTGGATTTTGCTGAATAGTCAGCCACCACCTTATCCAGCTTCTCCAAAAAAAGAAGGAGCCTGTAAACTTGGCTCTGCTTAGAGTGAGTATCTAGCTTCCAGAATCCGAGCCAGAGGTGGCCCCTGGCTAATAAAATGGAAGCCATGGCTTGGGCTGAGAACCTCATTGCATTCTTTGAGGCATCAGCTAGGAACACTGTTAGGGAGACTCTTTTCTTTTTAGGGAGACTTTTCTAAAGTGCAGCCAAAGTCAGGGTGATCTCAGTCCTTAAAGGCTTTGAGATCTTCTAGCCAGGAAAGAGATGCTCCTGCAAAACCTCCAAGGATGCTCAAAGGGTGGGGAAAGAAGCTTCAAAGCCCTTATGAGAGTGGCCTCCATTGCACTATCCCTAAGTTTCTTAGTGTAGCACTCTCCTTCTAAGGGAATAACCATATCCCAAACAAGGGATGCTACAGTGGTACCCACCTTTGGTGTCTCAGCAATAGAGCCCTTTGATGTTTGAATGTTATAGAATAGAAGTTGCTCTTGTTAATATACTTGCCCTAGTCAGCCTTGTCCCTTTCATCTCTAATCACTTCCTCGAAGGAGGAATGAAGGGTATTGCAGCAGCTTTAGAGGGAGAGGGTTTTGAGTGGAGAAATTTACTCTGAGGCTTACTTAGGGGAGCCTACTCAGGTTTCAGAGCCAAACAGCTCATCTTCAGCAGAGACACTGCAATACAGCAGAGGCTTGGGGAAGTTAACCCCCATGGGGTTAATAGACCCAGGGAGAATGAGGAATGCAGAGAAGGGAGAATGGTGCTGTCCACTGCCCAAAAAACTGAGCAACAAAGTTAAAATAGAAGGAGGAAGAGGAGGAGCAAAAGAAACTGCTGCTAAGGCAGAGAATTTGTCAGCAAGTGGAAGCAGAGGGGTCATGGCCAGACTGTGCTGTGCCAAAACACCGATCCACTTCTCTGAGATGCAGAGAGAGGTGAGCAGGCCAGATGTCCAGAACTGTGGGAGACACTTCTGCAGCCCAGTAATACAGCCTCCCTACTTCTCCTTGATATAGCCCTGTTTATGCATTCAAAGATCACATTAGCCCTTCTGGCCATAGCATCATAGGAGCTCACGCTCAACAGATTATCCTGGAAGCAGAGACTCTGAAAAGGACATGAGGTAGGATACAGGATGCGGCTCTCTAAGTGTAGTCTGCATTCACATTTAGCAGTAATAAGATAAATATTCTTTGCTTGTGCCCAGTTTACAAAGAGATCCAACTGGCTCTTTATCAGGGACTTGTTCTCTTCATTATTTACCACTCCCCCAAATTTTGGGGTCATTTGCAAACTTTGATCAGTTATGATTTTATGTTTTCTTCTAGGTCACTAACAAAAAAACTTAAAAACATAGGACCAAGAACTAATCCCTGTGGGGCCTCACTAGGAACACACCTGCTTGATGATTCCCCATTCATAATTACATTTTGAGACTAGCCAATGATTAATCCATTTAGTTTGTGCCATATTGATTTTGTTTCACTCTAGTTTCTTAAATAAAGAGTCACGCAGATACCAAGTCAAGTGCTTGACAGAAGTCTGCATATATTACCTTAACGCTATTAACTTTATTGATCTAAGTAGTAATTTCACCAAAGAAAAGAGCAAGTTAGTTGAACCAGAGCTATTTTTCATAAAACCACGATGACCAAGAATTAGAGGGTAATATACAGAAAATCTGCACTTAAAGTCATCCCGGTTAACGTTGTTTCGTTGCTGATCAATTAGAGAACATGATGGTTTAAAGTTGCACAATGCTCCCTTAAAACATTGTTTGACAGCCACCTGCTTTGTTCACTGCTTGCAGAAAGAGAAGCCCGTTGGAGCTAGCTGGTGGGGGCTTGGAAACAGGGTGGACTGGAAGCCCTCTTATCAGCTCCCCTAAGGGCTGGTCTACACTTAGTCCGGACTTCGGACTAAGGTACGCAAATTCAGCTACGTTAATAACATAGCTGAATTCGAAGTACCTTAGTCCGGATTTACCACGGTCCAGACGCGGCCGGAAGTCTCCCCCCGTCGACGCCGCGTACTCCTCTCGGCGAGCTGGAGTACCGGCGTCGATTGTGAGCACTTCCGGGATCGATCTATCGCGTCTTAACCAGACGCGATAAATCGATCCCAGAACATCAATGGCGTGCCTCCGGACCAGCCGGTAAGTGTAGACTAGGCCTAAGTTTCCTGTGTAGCAGCCTCCCAGCAGGCTCTGAATTACCAGGCAGTTCAGCTGTCCCTCCCCACACTGCTGTGTGCTGCTCCTGCCCTGGAGCTGCTCCTGGGAGCCTCCTGCTTTTGTGTGCGCGCACGCTAATGTCAGGGTGATCCCTTCCCCCTCCCTCCCCCAGCTCCTGTACCTATCTCCACAGAGAAGTGGGGGGACACGACAGGGCTCAGGAAGGAGGGAGCTTGCTGGCAGCAGCTGCTATCTCAACTTGCTTAGCTACTTAAAAAGGCAATGTACTTAGAGTGGAGTCAGCATTCTTAAAGGGGCAATGTGTGTCTCTCTCACACACCGTGTATGTGTCTGTCTCTTTCTGCCATGCTGTCTCTCCTCCCTCCATTCGTTCTGCCTTGTAGAGTGTGAGGCTACATTAACAACGTGTTAATCCTTGAAGACCCAGCAGAGTGCTACTTAATCATTTAGCAGCAAGGCATTCCCTGGGAAATATCCCACCCTCTTACTTCACCACCTCAACCAAGCTTCACAATCATCATTGCTGTGTACAATATTAAATTGTTTAAAACTTATACTGTGTGCGTAAAAAATATATATAGCCTTGTCTGGTGAAAAGAAACTTCCCTGGAACCTAATCCCCCCCATTTACATTAATTCTTATGGGGAAATTGGATTCGCTTAACGTTGTTTCGCTTAAAGTAGCATTTTTCAGGAACATAACTACAACCTTAACAGAGGAGTTACTGTAATTAGAGTCCTGGATCAACTGCTCTACTATTTTGCTCAGAATCAGTGTCAGGCTGGCAGGCCTATAATTACCCCTGGTTGTCCCATCTACCCTTTTTAAATATTGGCACAACATTAGCTTTCTCCAGTCTTCTGGAATCTCCCTAAAGTTGCAATATTTATTTAAAAAAAAATCAGCATTAATGGTCCAGCAAGCTCCTGGCCAGCTTTTTTAAAATTTCTGGATGCAAGTTATCTGAACCTGCTGATTTAGTTGCTGCTGCCTAACATCCTCCTGACTTACTATCGGAATAGAAAGCATTTCATCATCATCATACAGGGTTTGTCTTCCCTATAGTGTTAGGTCAAGGTAAAACTAGAGTTGTACCCCTGACCACTCACATGCACACACACAATTCTCTGGCTCAAGGTAAGTGATGCTTTAAGCTCCAGCTAGCTGGCCAAGGTGGGGGCACGTGTGCTATTTGAAGCTCAAATGCTGCTCACCCTGGATCTGATCAGCTGCTAATCCAAGCAATTTCTGCTGCTAATCAAATCACTATTGCTTGAACATTTTGCAGGGTAGTCACTCACCTGAGTGAGTAACTTGAGTGTACTAACTTGTCACAGCTGAGAACTTGTCATTTACTCTATAATATGGCCTAAAACCAGAACTGTTTGAGAGTTATAATAAATTACTTAGACAGGCACAAACATACACAGAGTAATCAGGCTCACCACTAATTTTAACACAGTATAAAGATTCTAACCTTTCAGTGATTTTCCCATTGAAACCATCCACAACTTCTAATGAAGTGTCCCCTTGTGACCAATTCATACTAAGAGATCTGTGCTCCAAGTCTATCTGAACTGGATGTGTAGCAGTCACCAAACTAATATGAGGTCTGTTGACCAGGTAAAACATGGGAAGCTTTGATGTGAGTGCATCATCAACACGTTGTTTTATAGCTATTTCTAGTCCTCTTGTATCACTGCAGTTTCCATCCCCTAAAAAACAAAAACAAAAAAACACCCTACACAGGCACATCACTGTAAGCAGAAATATTAGAATACAGATAAATTGTGACCAGATTTTCAAGGGAGCTCAGAACCCAGAAGCTTCAATTGTTCCAGGTTGAATTATTACTCTTAACTGTTATTAAAGCTGTTTTTAAAGCTGAAACTAAGTCTGCAGAACAGCATCATCATTGGCAACACAAGCTTTTGCTCAACTTCATCTGCAACAAGTACCATATTTGTTTTGATAGGATACCTTCTCTCTAGAGAGGTTCAATTTATCTTTGGTGTATTTGCTCAAGATGCCAATTAAAATGCAAGTTATGATGGTGTTTTATTTTTGATATAGAAAGTCAGCCTTTGCACTCTCGTCACTGGAGTTACTCTATATTTTAACTTATTCGAGGAATTTAACAGAAGCATTTGGCTCATCAGATTTGAATTTAGGCTATGTCTACACTGTAACTTGTGTCAGTATAGCGTATGTCGCTGAGGGGTGAGAATTACACCCCGCATCCCCCGAACGACATAATTTATACTGACCTAAGTGTTGGTGTGGACACAGCTATGTCAGCAGGAGAGCTTCTCCAGCCAACATAGCTACCACTGTTGACAGGCGCTGGAGTAATTTAAATTGACTGGAGAGCTCTCTCCCCCATTGGCTTAGAGCATCTGCACTAGCAGCGCCACAGTGGTGCAGTTGTCAGCTCTGTAGCATAGTCATAACCTTTGACTTTTCTGGGTTTTGAAGTACATACTTCCATCAAGGACTAAACTGGCACCAAGGGGTACATATTGTCTGGAGAGTTCCTGTGTATAGGAAGGTTGAAGAAAGAATCTGGAATGCATTAATCTAAACATTAAAAAAGTCAGAACATAAAAGTAATTTAAAAAAGCAGTATGAGTGACCGTGTCCACATTCTGTATGAATGACAGGAACAGGCATACAATTAAGTACTAGGAGAGAGTCGGGGGGGGGGGGAGAAGAGATGAGAGGGGGAGACTTTGTGCCTCCTCAAACTGCTTCCAAAACTGTATTCCATATACATAATCACAGGAAAAGTCACCACAACTGTTAACATCTGGGAAATTGATCTACATGTAAACTAATTTAAAAACTACTTGGGATAATATCATGTTACTCCTAGCAATTCCATTTCACCTATTTGAGTTGCATAGCCAAATACTACTGTAGGAATTCAGGAAGGCCATTCACTGCCATCAAAACTGATTGCCATATGAGGGCAAAAAAAAAAAAAAAAAAATACTTACTGTTGTCTTGGCAGTTACTATTTCCCAGCATAAAATCTATTGCCAACTAGTTAATTTAGAGGTACCTTTAAACTTTAAAAGGAGGAAGTAAGATGATTTACAAAGGTTTTTCTTTAACTAGTTTTAGTATAAATGTTGAGTTTGATGACATTTTTCATAATACCCCTACAAATTCAACAGAAAATGTTTAAGTTTTTTTACCAGCTCTACTTTGTACTGTCTAATTACCGGACTGTATAGTTGGGAGTTTTCATATATGCAAGTTATTTAAATAATCTGAATTTAAATGGTCACCACATCCTTTGCAACATCTTATTTTTAAACACAGAATAACTGCATGTGTGGCGAACCAACGAAACCCAGGAAATTTAGAATTAATGTATGGTGACAGAGAGGGTAATCTGACTGAGTAAAGAACATATTCTAATCTCAAAGAAGTTAAACCTCAATTTTAAGTATAAATACATTTATATTTAATTTCTTTTTTAAAACGAAGTATAGAAAACGCAAAACAATTTTTAAAATAAAGCATTATATTCCACTTGGTTAGAATTTTTATTAATGTAACCAGAATGAAATACCACAGCTGAAAGTTAGGGCATAAGCAATAATTGTTTTATATCAGTAAAGGAAGGCTTACCAACAAGTATACTGCTGATGTAAACTGGCTGAATGAAGTGACTTAGCAATGCTCCCTGGACACCCAGCACTTCCCATCTGGTTAATTTGTCACTAGCTGACATGCTGTTTACTCTGTTAGCAGCTTCAGTGGGACAATAAACAGTTAGGTAAATCTTGCCTTCCACAGCAAGATGGAGACTAAGCTCTTCATTAGCTTCAAATGCAGATATAGAATTTGGATTGAGACGTCTAAAATAAAGATTACAGAAAAGCCAATGAAGTCCAACAAAAATATTTTCTTTAAAAAACACATATATAAATAAATAAAAGACAGCCAAGAAACAAAATTAACAGGCACTGTTAGTTACTTTTCAAGGTTTAAAATTGCCAAAATCTGCTTATACTGCCAAATGACTTCATTATTAGATTGCTATGTCAATATTTTCTAGATGCAATGCAAAAAAATCACAGCACTCATTCTTCCACAACCAAAAGAAAAGAAAAAAAAAACCCTCCAAATGGATTGTCCAAAACATAAAAGGTTTAATATGATGACTTTTAAGCTACTTTCCTATAAATAACTATATTACTTACTATTCAAATTGACCAGAGGAAGCAGTAATTCAGCCTAATAAGTCTCAAAATCCTAAACATCACTAGTCATGCAAAATTGAAATTCTACTGCAAGTAGGCTACTATTGCTGCATTATGCATCTGACTACAAGTTATCTGGAGGCTATGCTTGCCACATGAAAGCAGATGCAAACTTGTCATTCTCATTTGAGACAACAGCCAAGAAACCTTCACACTCCAACATATTTGAAGAAAACAGATGTAACATTGGCTAAGTATGCTATGTTCCCTCTTACTGGCTATTCCAAACAGAAAAGAGCTTAGTAATGCTCTTAGCTTAGAGAGTTCCTCAGGCAGCAGAAGCCTGTCACTTTGGGCTGAAGGTCCTGCCTTCTGTCCCAGCCAGACAAGCTATGGTGTGGCAGATATGCAGGGGCGCTAATTGCAGGCAGCACTGCTCAACTACCATTTATCTTAATTTCTTCTCAGAAAAGCACACTAAAACCTGCTAATTAAGGGACAGGTTTTGCCAACATAGGAATACTTACATAAGTGTCCAACATGCATAAGCGTGGCAGAAACTTTAAAATAAAAAGCCATCTCACATGGTTTTGTTGGGGTATTTACTATTGCAGCAAACAAAACTTCCTATACTTAAATATGCTATTCAAAGAGCCCCCATGCTGACAGGATTTGGGACAAAAGCCATCTGCTCGTACCTAAGTAATCTTGTGCCTCAAGATCAAGATACCTCAAAAATATTGTCAAAGAGCACCAAATGGCACAGATTTCAACCAGAAGCTCGAACTATTGTTTACAAGGAAGGAGAGGTTACTCACCTTGTGTAATAACTTGAGTTCTTTGAGGTGTATCTCACTTGGGATGCTCCACTCCAGGTGTGCATGCACCCTGCATCATCTTTAATCCGCGATTTTTTGGTAGCGCTCATTTCGCCCATGCATGTATCCTTGTACCCATACTGAGACTCTATAGGACTGCATCTGCATGCTGCCCTCAGTTCCTTCTCTACCACAAAATCTGACAGAGGAAACATCAAAGCAGGGGGGAGCAGAGCTCAGTAGTGGAGCAGCCACAAGGACACACATCTCGAAGAAATCCACAAAGTGAGTATCCTCTTCTTCAAGTAATTTCCTTATGGGGGCTCCACTTCAGGTGACTCCCTAGAAGTCTATTCTAACTTTAGCTTGAAAGGACTATTCTAAACTCCAAGAATTTCTGATAGTATGAGCAGTCAACATTATATTCCAGCAACAGTCTTAAGTACCATGGTTGAGTAATACATCATACAATGAAAACAGTTTTTCTAGTCATACTACACAATTTTAGTGTGTACATATAAAAGGAAAAGCTCCAAAATATGCATTTGTCAGTCCATTAGTTACAGAATTAAGCTATTTTTCAACACAGTTCTACCAAATAAACCCCAAAACTCAGCTTTTCCATACCATCTGATTTATAGTCCTGCTATGTATGCTCCTCACTATGATGCAGATTAATTTATTCTCAATGGAAGATTTAAGTATCTTATTACAACTCTGAATAAGCATCTGTGAGATCTGAAGACTCAAATACTTACAACTGTGACTTTATCTGAGCAGATCCTTTTGGCAACTGATTCATGTAGAGAAAAATATTTATATTTTGTTTTAAACTGAGTAGGCTTGATGCTGGTTCCATACAAAATATGGATTTGTCCATCATAATAGGATTTTTACTGTAGAATAACAAAAGCTGCCTGTAAAAATACCTAAAACAAAGTGTTATAGATCAAGAAATGCTGAAATATGCAGACTTTTAAAGACTTAGCATATTTGTATAAAAAACTAAATTCATTTTAAGCTGCTGAGCATTTACACACAACTAATTTATTCAGCACATCTGTAAAATCTGAATAAATAATCTAGTAAAGAAACCTGAAATACTATATATAAGGCTTCTGACTTGTTTTTAATCCATAGACATCAATAAAACACCATTCAATACAAAAAAGAAATTGTTGACTACCCAAACACTGGAAAACCACCAAGAACAGGTACTTATATCTAAGGCAGGGGTAGGCAACCTATGGCACGCATGCCAAAGGCAGCACGTGAGCTGATTTCAGTGGCACTCACACTGCCTGGGTCCTGGCCACTGGTCCAGGGGGCTCTGCATTTTAATTTAATTTTGAGTGAAGCTTCTTAAACATTTTAAAAACCTTATTTACTTTACATACAACAATAGTTTAGTAATATTACAGACTTATAGAAAGAGACCTTCTAAAAACGTTAAAATGTATTACTGGAACACAAAACCTTAAATTAGAGTGAATAAATGAAGACTCGGCACACCACTTCCGAACAGTTGCCGACCCCTGATCTAAGGGCTTGTCTACACAGAGCAGCAGTGCAGATGATAGGGGTGTGATTTCTAAAGCACACTAATGCCGCACATTGACTGGCCCGCGTAGACCCTGCTAGTTTACAGTAAAGGCTCCCTAATTAACTTTTACCTAGTACTGTTGGCAACAATACTATGTTAAAGTGCACTAGGGAACATCAGAGATTATTGAGAGTAAATACTACTGTAATGAGTAATGGTGTGTAATACACTACATACAGAGAAAAACCTCCTAAAGCCCCAATTTTTGGACAGCACCATAACATTCAAAAATTGCTTAAAAAATAAAGTTAATAAACCCCCAAAACAGTAGCCCTAACTATATAAAACTACTATTCACAAAATGCATTGCCATAAATATTTAGCTTAATCAAAATGGTTGTCTGCAGTTCTTGTAGTTTACGTACTCATCTTCTTACCTAAGCAGAGAGCGTCTTGCAGTAACAGCAGCATGAGTGTCATGCAACACTCTCCCATCATGATGAATGCACTGACTGTAATTGAATTCTCCTGTGCCAAGAGCTACAACTTCATAGTGTCCAGCTAAAAAGAAAAAGTAGTTAAGTAGTTTCATTTGATTGAAGGATCCCATCTTTTTAAAGCAACTGCTTTTAAAGGAGGAATTAAAAGGATTCCATTTTTGATTAGAATATAAAAGGGGAGAAAAAAGGAGAGTGTTTTAGTCTAATGAGGCCACACATTTAATTATTGGTGGAAACTTGCTTGGTAAATGAAAATAAATACCTCTTTACTCTAAGAGTTTAGAGCATATTTTAAAAACATTTCATCACACACCTGTGGAACACTATACTTTTAACGTCCTGGTATATCACTGACCCTGCAAGTCCTTGACAAATTGTAAGCTGAAGGGGATAACTGAGAATAATTCAGAACTCTGCTCTTCTGGAAGGGAGAGAAGTAGTTTTTACTCAGTTTCCAGAGAGACATCAGAAGAAACAGTTTGGGGGGACTTTTAAAATCTTGTGAGAGACAGATGACTCTGATAACTCCCTTAACTGCTTTAACTCAGACTGCTAAGTGACAGCAAGATAAATGCATCAATGCAATTGCACCAACATTGTCTACCTCAAAGGACAGAAAAAAAAAGACCTACGGCTCAGTGAGTATCAATGGTGCAGATGGCTTAGGCACTAACTGAAGTACGAGGCAGGGGAAGACGAAAGGATGGTATTGTACTTTGTGTACAGAGATGAATTTGATCTCTGTTCAACACAGTTGGACCTTACAGTTGTCACGCTGAACCTCACCTCGAAGGGTTTTCGTTAAATGCTCAAATACCTCTCTTCTCCTCGGCTACACTTTCAGTGTGTATCGTCTCCCTTTCCCTCTGTTGCGGCCCCTCAGAGCTTCATCCAGAGTTCGTTAATTTTACAGTGACAATTCAAGCCTGTTTCACCACTTTGGCTTCCTTAATACCACATCCACAGCCATCTGGGTGATGTCTCCTTCAGGATGTACCATCAGTTTAAGATCAGTATGATAAGACCAAAACTCATCTTTTCCCTTCCCTTCTCTATATTGGCAGGACTCCACCATCCTCCCCATTCCCCAAGTTGGCAGCTTTGCAGTATATCTCGCTCTCCCTTTATTTCACCTTACTACTTTTCCCTCCTCTCCTTGCCTCCCCAAAAAGATGATTTTCTTTTTCTCTCCATCTCTGAAAAAACCCATCTACATCCTGTTAATCCCCCTTTTAAGATTATTGTAACTGCTCCTCTCTAACCTAGATGATATCAACATTGCTCTCCCCCATTACAGATACAATCCCAGCAAACCTTTCACCCCTAACTAACTCCCTGACCTTGTTGTTAAGAGATGGTAACACCAGAGTTTAGAAGTATGCCCTAGGGTCCAACATTGTAGCAGGAAGATAAAGCACATGAGAATTCTATCCATCCTCTTCCATGCATTGCAAATGACATCAGTTGAGCAGAATGAGGGAACCCCCAAAGATGGAAAAAAGACCACTGGAAAGCAACCCAAATATGGCACCTCACATGCTGATTATTGTCAAAAGTAAAGTTTTTAAATACCCAAAAGTCAGTCTATTCTTTCATATACAAATCTAGCTATAGTGTTCTACATCTTCAGGACCTCTTGGCTAGCTAACAATAATGGTGTGACACTATACCTCAGGGGAGTGCCTTGCAACCCCCCCATATTCATCATTTGAATATAATTGTGATATTTCATTTAAGCATGCCATGTGAGGTATCATGGGAAAGGTTATGATCTGCTGAAACTCACTGTTCCATCTAACTATGTATATCATTAATGCATATGAAGTTATGAGAATTGTGTTGTATGATTGTCACTAAAATATGTTCAGGGTTTGGGAAGCACCCAGATACTAGCTCCCCAAAAACAATAACCTGGGGGATAACCAACACCCGGGTGGGTGTTGAACAACCATCACAACAGCCATTGTCCAGCAAGGGAGCTACAATGCAATGACTCACTTGCCCAAGGCCACACCAGGGGAACTGCTCAACCTTGCCCTAGTGACTCAGCAATGCCCACCAGACATGCCTGACTTGTGTTCTCCAAGCACATGGACTACAGGTATAAAACAGAACACAGTGGCCCGACGCATTTGCCTTTTCTCCTCCCACTACTTACGCTGCAAGCAACAAGAACGCTCAGAAGGCTGAAGACTCCAACAGAGAAGACTGGCCCAGGTTTAAGAGACAAACCTGTATACTAAGGACTTTAAGATCTAGTCGGGTGAGAACATTGCTTGACCTAAATACTGTCTAGCATGATAAGGGTTAAGGTTTAGACTGCGTGCTTATATTTTCTTTTGGTAACCACTCTGACTTTTTGCCTATCATTTATAATCACTTAAAATCTCTTTTGTAATCAACCAACTTGTTTTAATGTTTATCTTTACCAATGAGTTTGCCTGAAGTGTTTGGTAAATCTGCTAAGGTTTACAAAGGCTGGTGTGTATCTACTTTCCATTGATGAAGTGGTGAACCAATTAATAAACTTGCATTGTTCAAGAAAGGGTCTTGAGCAGTGCAAGTTGGTATATTCCTGAGGTACAAGGCTGGAAGCTGGGGGGATCTGGGTGGTTCCTCTTTCTGTGTGATTCATGAGTGGCTCTGGGAACATTCATGCAATCTAGATGGGTGTGGGGCACCACATGCGGTTGTGCTGTGTGATGACAGTGCCCGGAGGTGTTTGCTGCTCATCACTAGCAAAGCTTTGCAACAGACAGCACAAGCTGGAGAGTTAAGGGGGCACAGCAGTCCCACAAATGGGGATCCCATCACAAATGGTACTTTATTTGGTGATATCATTGAAAGTCACTGTAGGCTGCATCTACTGCAGAACATGGCCTATGATTTCAAAAGAGCATATATAGCTATCTGCATTTTCTGTACTGTCTAACTTTGATCCAGTGAGTGTGCTCCAATTACTTCACATTAGAATTTACTTCAATTATAGTCCTGCCCCAGAAGGCTTATCTGTTCTGCGCTTGTATAGCGCCTAGAACAACAGGAGTCCCTGTTTTGGACTGGGAATCTAGGTGCTATAATGAATGAATGAATAATGTAAAGCTTTCAACTATGAAATGTGTTATCCTGAGAAGCAACCCTTTAATTTCATTTAGGGAACTCCCAGTGAAATGCATATAACAAAACAAATAACTCGTTGCGATTATCCTCTGAAAGTTCAAAATGAAAAGTAAGCCTGAACAAGTGAGATTATGCAGCAGTTTCAACCCCAACAATCTTGAAAAGGCTTGCACCTTTCAACTTTTCTGGTGAAGGTTAACACAATGGAATGCTTTCCATTTCAATGCGTACAAACAGATTTATAATATCCTTATAAGGGAAGTACAATAATGTTCTGTTTTGTATAGATGATTTTATGGCATGTCAAAAGAAGTAGGGTTTGCTGGTTATGGGATTTATTAGGCTACTATACTTGTTAATCTACATTGCTATATTATGCTCAATACCCCTTTTTGTATATGCACCCTACAAATACAAAAGAGTTTTATCGTACAAGTACACTGAATATCAAAACAGACTTGCCTTTTTCAATTATAAAAGCAGCCAATGAATTGCTACAACTCTGGTACTCAGGATATTTGGCAGTCAGACTGTTAAAGGTTTCCCTGACAGCTCGTGAAAATTTTTCATACACAAGATGCCTTCTCTCTAGTGAAGAAAATAATTTAAAAAAGAAAAAAAAAAGACCATAGAAACCAACAAAATACAAGTTTGTAAGAAAAAATAGAACAAAGCAATGTCAAACATTCATATGAGCTACAAAACTGAACATATGATAAAGTCATTCAATAAATAATGCCAACCGGCATTTTTGAATTAAAAACTTAAAAATGCATATGAAAAATTGAGAATAAGAAAACTCAAGCAAGTTATGCTAGTATGCTCCCTAGATGCAATCTATTAGACACAGCCTTTTATATCTTAAGGACAGAAACGTTAATTCTAACTCCGCCACTGACTCACTGTTTGACTTTAAGCAAGTTCATCTGTGTATTTATCCATCTATATGACAGGTACACCAATCTTACCTCAAACGTCACTGGGAGATTAGTGTCACTAAAGCAGAGACATCCCTGCATGAACCAGGTAGTAATATTTTTATAGATATCATTAAGTTGGCAGGAATGAATACCAAATACAACTCTGTAAAGACATTAGCTTTCCAATTTAATTTTCAGGTGGTGGTGGGGGGGGGGGTAGGGAATGGATTTCCTACCATAAGGCATCTTTGAAATGTATGTTGATTCAGCTGAAACTATGGGTTCTGCAGGAATCCGAGGAGGACCTGTAAATTTAATTAAGAAAGTTTCAACATTTAAGACTTTAAAACATTCATTGTCATTTAGTGTTTCTAGCAGTAGAGTAGTTCAATTCTAGTTAAAAGTCCCAAGATAAAGGTTGCTGGAAACAGTTTTTTCAAGTTACATAAATAGAAATCGGAAGGCCCTCAAACAGCCAGGATAATTTAAAATTCACACTTTGCCATCTGTCAATTGTTTTATCATTGAACAAAAGTAAGCTACTTCCTAATTAATTTAGTTTCCCTAAATTAGTCCACATTCTATAAAGTACTGCTCTCTTTCAAAGCTATAGCAGGTGAGGACAGAAGATTATTAATAAAGTCCCCGTCTCAAAAAAAACAGGAGATTAATGTTGTGATAACTGAATTCTTCAGAAAGCAGTGACTTAGTGCAATAGGACTTTCAATAAAAAAAAGTCTCAGACTATGAACAAAATTTAAAATTTCTTTTCACTACAAAGAATAGCTGTAATAATGTGGAAGACTCTACAAAAAAGAAACTGCTTAAAGGGTTAACTTCCTTATTGCTTTCTCCCCTTTGTAGATGGCAGGAACCTTGAAAGCAGCATTTAAAAATACAAGAGCAGGAAAGGGAAAATTTAAGGATTGCAAACTGATTAACTCTGCCGGAAGGATTCATTGGAATGGGAAGAGACACACTGATGCAGGAGTGTTAGTCAAAGCTACTCTAGACGTTTATTTTTAAAAATACTTTTATTGTAGAGATGTTACTGGAATATTTACCTGAACTTTCAAAAACCTTTGGTCCTGTATCGTCCAACTGGAGTAGCTCATCAAGAGCCAGTTTTGCTGCATTTGATTTAGACTCCTTTTTATTTTGCCCCAATCCTGTCTTATATTGAACTCCATCCACCACTGCACAAAAAGCAAAGTAAGCCCCCAAGACGTTGCCTAGAAAAAGAAGCCATATACAGTTAGAAGTTTATTTTAATGTATTCATTAGCTTTATGCTTTTATAATTATGGAAGATCAGATGAATATAAGGCCAAGATATTTTAACAAATCCAAACTACTTTTTACATCTACAAGAATTACATTTTATATTTACATTTCACCTTTCATCCAAGATTCATAAATAGATTACACACATTAATGAAAAGCCCAATTTTTCAGAGGTGCTAGGCATTTCATTTTAGTGCCTTCACTTAGGTGCCTTTCATTTTAGTGGAAACTATGGCCATTCGACGCTTCTGTAAAATGAAACTATTTTTCTACTTCTCAGTAGTGATGTGATGTTTAGGACCTGAGCTTTAGAGAGAGAAATTAAGAGTAAAATTTTCAAGAACACCTAGACTCAGGAGCCTGTGTTCCATTTTCAAAAGTGATAGAGGAGCCTAAATCCTATAGCCTTTCAATCAGACTAAGTCTCCTAAGTGCCCAAGTCACCTCTGAAAAAGGGGGCTTACATTAATGGTAAAACGTCCAATAATATATTTCCCAACATCAAAGTCTGTCAGAAAACAGAATTCCAGTTTCCCCAATATCTCAGCTTTCCTCTTGGGTTAGTTTAACAGACATTACTTCCTAGTAGGCAGAGAGCCTAATGAAAACAAGACCTTTGAAAAGTCAGTTTCAATCTCTTTTTGCATTGTACTGCACATGACAGGACAACCTCCTGTCATTGCCATGGTTTGATCTGTTCACCCAAGGCTACCTTGGTTGGACACGGATCTTTCACTGACTGGCTCACTTTCTCCCCAGTCCCACCATATCTGATTCAGTCTGGGGGATTCAACTGAATAGCACTGAAAAAGAATTACACTCCCCATACAGATGCAAGTCCACTGTGACCAAATATCAACCCGAAGCACCCCAAAACATTAAAGTAGAGAGGATGCAAATTACATGTCAGGAAATGAGTATGTTCAAGGTTGCAAAACAACAACTCATATTTGGTACAAATTTAGCAGGCCAAGTTGTAAATAAAGTTGCTTATAAGAATGACTGCCTATAGGTATGTCTACACTGCAATTAAAAACCCACAGCTGGCCCATGCCAGCTGACTTGGGCATGTGGGTCTCAGGCTAAGGATTTGTTTAACTGTGATGCAGACATTTCAGTGCAGGCTGCAGCCTAAGCTCTGGGACCCTCCCACCTTGAGCCTGAACATCTGCATCGTAATTAAACAGCCCCTTAGCCCGAGCCTGAGTCAGCTGGCATGAGTATCTAACTGCAGTGCAGACATATACGTCTTATACATATAAGAACTAATTGTCTAAAAAGTACCTGAAAAAAAGCATTCAAAGACCAGCGTGAGAGCATTTTCTATAACTGATTTTGTAGTGATCACATTAACCACTGATTGGATTACATGAAGGCATGATATAGGCATGGTAAAAATAGCTGTTAATACTACATACAGTGTAACCAACATTTTAAAAAAAATTAGTTTCTGTATCAGCCAGTCACACCAAGTGCATGCAGAGCAACTTCATGAGGAAACAAGGACACTTTCTCTTAAAACCAGAAATATTTACCTGTTGTAACAGTTTCCTTCAAATCTAGTTGCACACGCTGCATTTGTGCAAATTGATGCAAGGCAGATACTGGGTTTATCTCCCCACGTTTATATTTTAGTATAAACTCCTTTGGTATTTTCTTTGGAAGAAGTGAAGTGATTGGAGGTGGATGGGCTGCTTTGGAACATAGCAAGTCTGAAACATGACCTAAAATATATTTGTTAAATTAAGATGTTAGCGTGTAGTAAGCTAAAAGCAATATATAAAAGTAAAATGAAAGTGTGAGAATAATATTGCTGCATCTCAACAAAGGCTACCTGGAAGATTAAGCAATTTGCATTTTATTCTAATTTAAGAGGTTGTAAGTAGTTTTGGTACTACTGTAACCCTGTAAATGTTAGTGACTCCCCCTTTAAAGGCACTAGGGCTTGTTCCTTGACTAATAAACCTGATAGTCTTTGAAGTTAAACCCAGTCACATGTAAACCCAGAACCAAAGGCCATAATTTCCAAGAATACAAGTACTTCCAGAGATTATCTGATTTAACAGATCAAAATCTATTTCATGGCATACAAAAATAGCAGAAGCACAAGCCATAGTTTTTTACGACAGTATCACAAAGGACAATAGAGTTTTTGCCTCATGCTGTGGGCCCTCAGGTCCATTTGAACTGGTCATGCAGATGCTTAGGATACAGCACTGGTGTTACCCTGTATCTACACTAGAAAAAAGACTGGACTTTAGCATGGGTTATCTTAGCCTGACCTAAACTTGATTACTTTTCCTAAGCAAGACACTGCCCAATTATCCAAGTATGTTTTGAGCTTTAAGCACAGGAGAAATAGTTTTCTCCAAAAAGTCACAAAAATGTTATTACTTTCAGTTCACAAATACACATAAGCACCTGCCACATGAAATAAACGCTGCATCTAAATTATACAGAATAAGATTTCCTCTTCAGTTATTATAAACATATTGATAGACAAAAGACTCAGAAATAAGACTACCTGCTAAAATCTTGAACTCCCTCATTTGAAAGTTACATGTGCGGGGGTCAGGGAATTTGTTACTATCAAACAAAACTGTATTTAAAATTCTCAGCTTTTTCTACAAAAGATGCTGAACACAAAGCCTGTTATATACATGTTGGTGCACTTTATATGAAGTGCTGTGTACACATTATAGACCTGATGAAAGAATAAACTCTAGATGGGCAGACCCCTGCACCCACATAGATCCTCAACTGCAGGTTCAAGGTAGAAGTTGCCCTAAAACAAGAGAGATGGGGATGAAGGCAGAAAGCAGATTAGTCAGACGAGAGGTAGCATTAGCTTAGTGGGCTGTAAGGATGAGGATTCTACACTTCTCTTTTACAGAAAAGCTATTTCTGAAAAAGTGTTTGTAGTTATTCAAGTTATTAAGATGAAAATTCCCTGTACTTCCACCTGTAGAGTCATCCAGTTTATACACACAAATTCCATGGATGTAACATGTGACGTTAAATCTGGATAGGTTGCATCTCTTTAGTTACACCACTGCTGGATAATAATTAAGAAACAGTCAAATAATATGTTTACTGACATGTACAAGTAAAGAGGAAAAAGATCAAAATTCATTAAAGTTAATAGTCCTAACCTTTTATTTGCCCTCAGTATCTTATTTTTTTAAATTGGTAAGTAAAATAGTTTTTGGTAAAAGGCAAGTAGATGGCATGTCTAGGCAGGTTAATTTTCATTACAATTTTGCAAAGCCATTTGTACTAGTGTTGAAAGGCCATTCCTAGAAGCAAATCAACTTAATAAATGTAAAGACAATACCTGTGATGTGTGTCACCTTACGTGCTGAATTTGGCATGTTGTAATTTTCAGAAGATGAAAACATCAGGCCCATATTCACAGGGTGTGGAGATGGCTGAGGAGGGGCTTGAGGAGGCGGTTCAGTGGGCAAGTTCTTTTTTAGCATCTGAGCAAAGCTGGGTACTCTGGAACTTTGAAACCAGTCATTGTTGCGAGCCATTTTTCCATTTACCTACAAGCCAAATTTAGCCAACAGGTATTTTTAAGGCTGTTGAACATTAGCATAGCATAGCAAATATGGACAATTTCTCCACAAATTAGTTTTACATGTTTCATGGCTCCTGATTCTTTCTGCTAATAAATGAAGTTACTAAATTCGAAAGCACACTAATAATAGTTGAGACCCAAACTTACAGATGGGGGAGGGGAACAGAACATAGGAAGATAATGGCAATGTTAACCGTCAGCTAAGAACTTTCTCCCCTTCCTTGCAACCACAATCTGAAAAGCAATTGTCCCGCTGAGTCCCAGGTGCCCTAGATCAATAATCATAAACCAGGAATCCAGGGCCCCATAGAGGGCCATGAGCAGATTTCAAGGGGGCCTCCAAGCAGGGTCAGCATTAGATTCACTGGGGCCCAGGGCCAAAAGCCAAAGCCCCACCTCATGGAGCTGAAGCCAGGTCCCTGAGTCCCACCACCCAGGACGGAAGCTGAGGTCTGAGCAATGTAGCTTTGTGGGAGCCCAGGCAATTGCCCTGCTTGCTACCCCCGAATGCTGGCCCTGGCTTTTATATGCAGAAAACCAATTATGTGGCACAGGTGGGCGGTGGAGTTTTTATAGCATGTTGGAGGATGGGGGGAGGTTCAGAGGTAACAAAAAGGTTGAGAACCCCACCCCTAGATTACAAGAGCAATGGAAACAGAAACTCCAGCACGGCTACCCAGGCTCAGCAAGGTAGAGCCCCACGTGGCTGGCTTTCACGCTGGTTCATGGTCTAGCCCCTTTGGGTCAGGGCAAACGGGACGGGAAGGCTCCTGCGTCCCACTGTCCGGCAGGCGCCGGGGCGGGCCAGGCTCCCCATGGGAAGGGATCCCAGCCTGACACCATCCAACCACCCGCGCATTGGAGACTCCCGGCGGCTTCCCCGCAGCAGGTGCTTGTATCAGCCCCACACCTCTGCAGGGCAGGCGCAGCGACGGGAGCAAGGGACGTGCAGTGGGGCTGCCTCCCAGTGGGGAGCGCAAGCTACTGGCTGCACCAGGGGAGGATCACCCTGCAGCCCCCTCTCCGGAACACGGACTCGGAGACGAGGCCATGTACCGCGACTGAGACTTGCCCCAGAACCACCCCGGGGCCCTGCCCGGTCGCACCGCGCGAGAGCAGCCCCCCGCACTGATTTCACTTTTCCCCGGCTGCTGCCTCCCTCCGCACCGACGCGCCTGCTCGAGGTCGCTGCCCGAGACAACGAACAAAAAGTGGGGCGTGACGCCCTCCGCCCCGAGGCTGCTTCTCCCCACTTGGCCGTCAGCGGGGCGCGAGGGCGTCTCAAAAAGCCTCGCCCTCAGATCACGTGATCCTCCGACCAACCGCCGCCGGGCTAGCTCGTGCTGCCGACAGGCCTGGCTCGAGGCGGCTCAGTGCGGGGACGGGGAGTCGGATACGGACTCGGCCTAAGTCACAGGGGCTCCGTGTCTCTCGCCTCACGGGGGCGCACGCCACATAGAGCCCGCTAACGTCACCCCGGCTGTGCAGATAGTCCGGGCGGGCCGCCCGGGATCCTTCTGCAGCCCTCTAGCAACGAGCAGCAGGAGCAAACTGGAGCCCCGAGCGGGCGCGTGCAGTATGACCGGCCAGCGGCCGCCCCTCCCTAAGGGGGGCGACTCGGTGGAGCTGGCGGCCCTGCGCTCAGGTGCTTTGTCATGCACCTGCCTCCTCTCGGGGGAGCTGGACTCTGCTTCCCGAAGCAGCACCGCAGCCGGCGGTGGCCTCCCGCCCCAGCCACGCCCCTTCCCCTGTAGCGGCCTCGCAGCGCTCATTGTCAGCGACTCCGAACCGGCCTCGCGGAGGTAGGAGTGAGCTCGGGCGCCGGAGCCCGGCCGCTGGGAGGTGGCAGCGCCGGGGCTGTTATGCCTCCTCTCTCCCAGCCCCAGGGCCGCTGTGTGCACGGGACAGCCCCTGGCGTAGCCACTGTCGCTGGTCCCCGTCTAGACATTTTCCTGTCTCTCTGGAGCCTGGCTCTTGAAAAAGTAGAATGTAAAACTAACCCCCCCCCACACGCACTTTTGGCACGAAACACCAGCCTCTGCCTCGCTCTGGGAAAGCCCCACGCTAGTGACTTTTAAAATCCCAATTGTGGACATAGGAAAACTTAGAACAAGAGGCCTCAACAGTGACCTAGTTTTCAGCTACACCCGGTTCAGGCGATGATATCCAGAGCAGGGGGGTTTACATATGAAGAGGAGAAAAAACATTTTAAAGAACAAATATTTAACAAAAATACTATAGAAAGGTGGATTATATTGACTACATAAAAGGTACAGTACCTCGTCTTTCATTAGATGAATAAGTGTGTGTGACTGAAGGAAACATTAGGAAGTCAGCTGGCCAGAAAAGCTAGTGTTGTTTTTGTACAGCTTGGTGTGCATGTACAGACATTTATTTTTGACTTCATTCACATTGCACTAATGAATGTTGGGCTTTAAAAATTTATAACAGATGCAAGCAAAAGTGTTAAACTACACCCATATATAACACCATAAAGCGTTTTTAGTAATCCTGAGAGGAGCAAAGTAATTTGTGATGCTAGAAGTCTTATTGAATAAAAAGTGTCTGAAAAATCATGGCTTCCACAGGTTGTTGTAGGCTTCCAGATGGTGTAAGACTTGTTTACTGTATTAAACGCTCAGATTTGCATTGGATAGCTTGTCATTTTTCTATTGCATTATTAATGAATGTTGCTCTAGCTGTGCCTGTCCCCATTCCATTACAGCTGAAGACATTATAAACTACAGACTTTTTTCTTAGTACTTGTACAATTAAAACTCTGTAATGTAATGTGTTTCCAGTGCTTGAATTAGGGGACATAGGTGTGCATGCCCCACTAACACTTCTTATTGCTACTTTTTGAGAATAAGGAACTAAGAAAAAAAATTACAACACAGTTACTGTTTTTTATTACAAGTGTAACAAACTTAAAATGATTTTTAGCACTATGACAATCAGTTCCATAAATTATATACATACAGGAATTTACACAAGTCTACATTGACAAAAAAAGCCATTAACAGAATCACATTAACAAGGGTTTGTGAGTTATGGCCAATAAAAGTTATGAAAATTCACAGTTAATCTGCACATATTTTAAAGATGCAGGAATCATATTGCACATAATAAAACTGTTAATGCTAAACAGCAGATTTACAGTATTTCACCTATTCTTTCACAGAATATACATTGGTCATAATCATGCAATACTTTACCACATACAGAATGGTATTGTATACCACTGTAAACAGTCACTTACAATGTAAGTTTTAAATATAGTAGCAAAAGAGCTGTTAGGTTTCTCTTTAAATCATACTTAAAATAAATTCTTATTATACAATAAAATATCAGTCTCAGACAGAATGGAAATAAAATTATAGTTTTGTCACAAATATTTTCAGTGTTCTTCCTTGTCCTTTCCTTTCTTTTCTTTTTCATCCTGTAGAGCAGTACCAAGTTTTTTGATAAGGACTGACAGAACTTTGTCCAGTGGGTCCATTACCCCCCGTTGAAGCCACTTAGGAATAGTAGTCCTGGCATGATGAAAGCCCAATTTTTGAAGAATGTAATCAACACCCACTGGGTCAATCTTTCTTCCAGTCCAAGAGATTAATCTAAAATACCCCCCCAAAAACCCCAAAAGGTTAAATTTCTGTGTAAAGTGTAAAACTCAACTCAGCCTTAAATATGGCATAGAAACTAGAACCTTCATCACAAGTTAACATTGGCATTGTCAAATCTTAAACTTTTTTACTTCTAAACTGTGAAAGTCTAACAGGCATTTCTTTCAGTCTCAGCTAACTTATGTAAATAAATTTTGTATTTAGACCTTTTTGGAAGGACTAGATGATTCAGGAGATCACAGATGTAATACGTTATCTCTGGATCCTGTATCAATTTGGACCATGTTATGGTTAACCAAAAATGGTTATTTGATAGATGTTTTATTGGCCTGGATGGACTGAGTTGGTGGTCTCACAGTCCATTCTTAGCAGGCAAGTGTTCACTTATCAAAACATTATAGTTAGCAGTAATTGGTGCCTTGTTAGTCTCAGCAGAGACCAACAACTGAAGAAGGCATGAAGACTACACAATTACCCCCTCATTCTCAGAAGTGATTCCTGTTGGTCAAGGATGAAGTGCATATTTAGGGCAGGGGGTGCCTGTACACCTGCTACTGCATCTGTTGTATGGGAAGTTTCATCAGGCATATGGCAACTTTTAATGAGACTTACTTTCATTCTATAATAACTTTTAAAAAATAATACTTAATAGTTGCATTCCCATTGTGAAAATGGAGGAAAAAAAAGTTTTCCCTTCCTGCATGAAAAAAGGAGTTTCTTAAATTACATCAGTAGAGGAAGCAGGGGATCTAACTAGCTGACAATCAACAGAAAGTGAATATTTGAATCTGAATGTCTGCCTCAAATTATTTTTATAGCCCCCAGAAGTGTTATACAGTTTAAAAATGTAAACCACCAATAGCTTACATTCTCAATAGAAAACATACTGACAGAATAGAAGAAGAAAGGTTCTAAGTTCTTCTTTTAAATTGGGAAGTAAAGATTATTTGAACAATAGCAGAAAAAGGTAAATGACAAGTTAATGTGTGGTCCTTAATGAGCTGCATTTCGCTTCATCTTGACTTTGAGCACCTGAGAACCTTACTGTTGTGTGTGCAGGAGTTCTAAGCAGTATAACTTTCAGTGCCTTTATCCAATGGCTACTCTTGAATTGGGCTTCTCAGTCCTAAGTGAATTCATTAGGCACCTGACTAGACCTCTTACATGCACACCATGATCCAGCGGATCAACGGTTGTCTATGGTGAATGATGGTATTACCCAGCATTTGTTACCAAATGACATTTCATATACTGTAGCAGGTGTCTTCCTATCATCATTTAATAGCCAAAGCAGAATCTGTGATAGCTTCCATAAGGCTAGATCCCATTAGGAGGTTAACTATCAAATTAAAACATCTGTGGTTTGAAGAATAGTCTCTGCAGATAATACTATTACTCAGCCAAAATAAATGTAAAATTGAATATACTGCAAAATAAGCCTGCTAATTACCTAAGTGTGGGTTCCAGATGCCAAGTATTGCACATAAATTCTCTCCAGTCTACAGTAGTGTAAGTAATACTTTCTTCTGCATCTCTCTCAGAGGAACTCTCATCAAGCAAATTAACTGGACTTTTCTGTCCTGGTCGAGTAGACAAAATACGAGGTGGAAAGATGGCTACAAAGCGGGGAGGAAAAAAGTAAAATTTCATTCATGGGCATTTAGTCAAGGCTTTGCTTGGACTTGGTAGTAAAGTAAGTGCTGACTTCATTCTTATCGTGGACACATCTTACTTCAACAAGCATTAGGAATATAATTTTTAAGCTCCTTTAACCTCCTTTAAGAGCAAGTTACACAACGTAAAAATAAACTCTCAAAATCCTCAAGTCTAATGAACCTTAAATACCTTAAATTCCCTTGCATCTGAAGAAGTGAGGTTCTTACCCACGAAAGCTTATGCTCCCAATACTTCTGTTAGTCTTAAAGGTGCCACAGGACCCTCTGTTGCTTAAATACCTTAATAATGTAATGTTTATTGTGCATGTATATTTTAAAAAACTATTCACACTGAATGCAAGTATCTGTGCAAAACATTGGATTTCACATACACCAGACACCATATTTATGACTTTCACCACATTTGTAATTCACCTCTCTTAAACACATGCAATACCTTGCTGTGGACATAGTAGCAAAAGGAGGGCAGACACATGCATGGAAGTTGCAAGTTCTCATATACAAAGATGAAGTTTTAATGTTAACAGTTTATAAACTAATCAGTTTTTTAAAGTTTGTTTATTCTTTAGATTTTTGTGAGTTCAAGGAAGCTAGGTTTCAACTTTCTACCTTCAATTATTTTTGTCAGTGTACATAAGAAATACACAAGATTGATTAGTTATTTTTATATTAGTTTACATTTGCTAAAGATTAAAGGACTTGGTATTTAATAAACTAATACACAGATCTTCTATAGCATTTTTCACTTCCTGCAAGGTGGATAAAATTGAGAATTTTTAA